AAAAAAAATAAATAAAATAATAATAATGTATCACCATTTCAAGAGATGCAAGGTTAGAGGGAAATTTATAGCATTTGATGCTTATAATAGAAAAGAAGAAAAGTCTTCATTCAATAATCCAAGCTTGTACCTTAACTACTAGAAAAGAAGAGCAAGTTAAACCCAAATCAGGCAGAAGGAAGGAAGTAAAGGGAGAAATCAGTGAAATTGAAGACCAAAAAAAGAGTATAGAATATCAATGAAAACAAAAGGTGTTCTTTGAAAAGATCAATAAAATTGATAAGCTTTTGGCCAGATTGACTAAATAAAAAGAGAGAAAGCACAGATTACCAATATCAGGAATGAGAAAGGGGACATCACTACAAATCCTACAGAAAATGATAGTAGGGTAATATTTTTTTTATTGAGGTCATAATAGTTTATAACATTGTGAAATTTCAGTTGTACATTATTATTTGTCAGTCACCAAATAAATGCACCCCTTCACCCCTTGTGCCCAGCCCCCCAACCCCCTTCCCTCTGGTAACCACCAAACTGTTCTCTCTGTCCGTGTGTTAGTTTATCTTTAACATATGAGTGAAATCATAGAGTGTTTGTCTTTCTCTCTCTCGCTTATTTCACTTAACATAATACTCTCAAGGTCCATCCATGTTGTTGCAAATGGGACAATTTTGTCTTTTTTTATGGCTGAGTAGTGTTCCGTTGTATATATATACCATGTCTTCTTTATCCATTCATCAGTCAGTGGGCACTTGGGTTGCATCCACTTCTTGGCTATAGTGAATAATGCTGCAATGAACATAGGGGTGCATAAGTCTCTTTTGAGTTGTTGATTTCAAGTTCTTTGGATAAATACTCAGTAGTGTGATAGCTGGGTCATATGGTATTTCTATTTTTAAGTTTTTGACAAATCTCCATACTGGTTTTCCATAGTGGCTATACCAGTTTGCATTCCCACCAGCAGTGTATGACGGTTCCCCTAATAAGGTAATATTTTGAATAACGTGATGATAGCATGTCATAAGGACCCCAGAGCAAGGCTAAAAAAAGCCCCATTGGCCAAATCTAGGACCACTTGAGCACTAAAATTTTATACAGGAATGAGTTATAAATCATTGAAAAATAAAATGGAATCCATATTGATAATACATAGCTAATGGAGAAGGGAGAGTTCTTACTTAGAGAAGAATGCTGAGTGCTGACTGATAAATATGGAGGGAATACTGGAGTTGGAATATTATTATTTTGGAACCTTCATAGTTAAGATTGATCCAAACAGAAGACACCAATCAGTGCTAAATCTGGGGAGAAATTTAGATGAGAAGCAGGACATATACATTGTCTTAAAGATGGACATCATTGCTTCTACATATAATACCCTTAGAAGGATACAGCACCAAGCATGTGGTATTCAGTCTGGTAATATATAACCTGAACAACATCTAAATAGATTGAGCACGTTAATGCCTCAGTATTATTACTCCTTATAGAGTGACTTTTGGAATTTAGGTTGAATTTTCTGAGGTATCTTCTAATACCTAGTTTTTCTCTCTCTAAGCCTAACTAAACCAAACTCATTCAGTTATGCTCCAAAGCCCACCCTGTAATTGATGAGGCATATTACCATTTGACAGAAAAATGAACCTGATATGTTTTAGAGAGATGGTGCCAGTGTGCATTCTAAAGCCTGACTTCTGTTAAAGCTTAGGGAAAACCTTAGCCTCTCAGGTGACCTCTTTCTGGATTTGTATCTACTCTTTATATTTGGAAATCATTTCAGACTTATAGAAAAATTGCAAGAATAAGAGTACAGAGAACACCTGTATTCCTCACCCAGTTTACCTGTTGTTAACATTTTACTGTTAGCTGGCTAGTATATTTTTTAAATTTAATTTTCCTTTTTTCACTTTGCAACTTTTTTTTTTCTTTTGTTCGTGTAATATGTTCTAAAGAGTCTTCAAAATGGAGGAGGGTACATACATTTGCATTTTGAAGCCCGGATCTGTCTTGTTCCTGTTTGTGGTTGCACTAGCAGTGTTAGAGTTGAAGCAACCTGATTTATCTGGGGTGAAGAATACTATTGCAAATTTCTGTAGTGATAGAAGAGTTCCTCTGCATTCTGGTGAAAGTACGTGGGGTAGAGGATAGAGATTGTCAAGCTAAATGTCTTCTGAAATCATTGAGGGTGAAGATTTAGGGAGGAATTATATTGAGGCTAAAGAAGATAGGTGGTGTTCCTTGATTAAGTTCTGTTTGGGGTGCAGAGTTACCAACTTACTGATCATTTAAGTACAGTTGATAGAGAAGAGTAGGATGCCTAGAAATATGTTGATAAAATTACTTAGGTTGGTGAATTTAGTGCTAGCGTTCAAACTGTATTTTGATCAATTAATCTACTTCTTGTTCCTCCCTGTAGGAGATGTGCAGAAGAGTAGGGGCACCTTTTACTATTGGATTATAGTTCATGAAACTAAACTCCTTTGTAAGATCTAGAACTTAGTGTGTCAGAATCTAAGACTGTGTTTCTCTGTGCTTCAGAACCTCTGGAGTTATCAGGCCTTGATTGTCAAGAACGTAAGACGTTCTCATTTTTCTTAGAGTAGGAAGATGTAAAACGATTTTATGATCACATTAAAGGAAATGGAGTTTCTAAAAGTTGATATAAATACAAAAAATCAGGCATATAAACACAAATATTAATCATCGCAGCGCTGAAGTAAACACTTAAAGGAAATCAAATATCCTTTAATGGGATTGAGGTATGGGGTATCAGTTAAAATGTGGAATATTCATATAATTCACATCCATGGAGTTGAATTTTACACAGCCATTAAACATTATAACTCAAACTGTCTGTCAACATGTAAAAATGCTTGTGACATAATATGGGAAAACTAGAATATACATTTCCTGCACACTGTGGTTGTAACTAAAACTACTTATATTTATGAACAAGGTGAAAGTTCATTAAAAACTACTTAATATTTATGAACTGCATTATGGTAGTCAAAATGCCATAATAATGCCAGAAAAAAGGTAATTTTTTCTGCTCTACTTTTTATACTTTCAATAATAATATTATATAGCATTTGTGGTTGAAAAGAAATTAACCACTTTTTTTTTTGAGGAAGATTTGCCCTGAGCTAACATCTGTGCCAGTCGTCGTTGTCTTTGTAGATGGGTTGCCACCACAGCGTGGCTGATGAGTGGTGTAGGTCCACGCCCAGGATCTGAACCCAGGCTGCCGAAGCAGAACGTGCCAAACTTAACCATTACACCACAGTGCTGGCCGCGAAATTAACCACTTAAAAAAAAAATAACCTTTATTTTTAAGAGCAGTTTTAGGTTCATAGCAAAATTGAGCAGAAGGTACAGGGATTTCCCATATACCCCCAACCCCACACATGCAAATACATAGCCTTCCCCACTATCCCCCCACCAGAGTGGTACATTTGTTACAATTGATGACCCTTTAGTGAATCATCATTAACACTCATAGCCACTTTATAAAAAAAATGAGGTGGTTTGAATTTTGAAATCTCATCACAGTTTCTTGGTTAGCAATCCAGAAATTGTAGGCAGAGAACCTTAGACTCTTGCTCTTTGACTCCTGCTAGAGGCTGGACTTGTGTAGAAATTGAACAAATGGGGAGGTTTACTCTGCTTAATCCCCCTGGAAGACCTCTATACTTAACCCACTTTGCCTTTTAACTCTTTTGATTTCCCTCTCACAGTCAGGGGACTGGGTTCTGCCTGTTTGGTTATGATTGAGCAGTCCTATCTGCACTGTTACATCTGGAGTTGTCTCCTTCTATCTCTTTCTAGGGAGTGCATTTTCGACGGAGCACCTTAAGCTTCAACTCCAGAAGGAATCCCTAAATGAGTTGAGGAAGGAGTGTACTGCGAAAAGGTAAGTGCAACACTGAGAATAATTGTTGTGAGTGTTGAGTTTACTTTGAAGATAGGATTTGGAAGAATAGCATTCTTTAAAAGCTGCTGGTATTAATTTATATTCCACACACCTCAGTGCCACATTCATTTATTCAGCAAATATTTATTAAGCACCTACTATGTATTGTGAGTGCTGTAGAGGCAGTTATGAGAGCTCCTAGAATATAGTCATAATCAGAAACGCGAACACTGTTCTTCTAGTTTTCAAGGCCACAGCACCGTGACTTAATGTTTGAATCTTCTCTTCCTGTCTTCTGCAAGTAGTGTAGCGTATAATTTTTTCTTCAGTAATTTCTTCAGACTTAGTCCTGTTTAGCATTAGCTCATTTGGATTACCTTAGCAGCTCCTAGATTCTCTCTCTAACATCAGTCTCTCCACTTTCCAGTTCATCCTCCCTGTTGCTATCAGACCTCTCCTCTTAAAATACTGTTACCATTATTTTTTTCTCTTCTTAAGAACCAATGGTGATTGTTTTGCTGAACTTTCAAATAACCTTCAATTGGCACTATACAACTGTAGCTAATTTCAGTTGCTCCACAACATTCATTTAACAAGTGCTAATAGTTTTTCCTTTTATTTTTCCCAGCACATGCTTAATTTGTTGTCACCTCTGTTCTTTTGCTCATCTTCATTCACTTTTCCTGGAAAGTCATCCCATTTTGCATTTTTCTGCAAGAAACCTTAGCAGTTGAGGGTTCAAGAATGTTAGACCTGGAAAGAACCTTGGAGATCATCTAGTCTAATTCTCTCAATTTGCAGATAGGAAAGCAAGGCTCTGGGAAGTTAACTATTTGTCCAGCTCACTAAGAAAGCAGGACTAGATCCTTTAAGTTTTCAGTGCTCTTTTGCATTATGCTTGTACTTTTACATTCCACTGTGACCTATGGTTTCTCCTAAATTCCTTTTTTTTTAAATTGTTGACATAGTTGAGCAGGTAATTTGGGTATTTTATCTGTTGGTCATGTTTCTTAAGTAGTTCAAGAGAAGAGCTGCCTCGTCTTGTGCCATAGCTTTTTGCTTCTTGGTTCTTTTTATTCTATTATTTTTCTAAGATGGTGGCAGGTTGTTTTTTGAGGTAGTTATGACATGTAGCTGTGAGTGAAAATAGTTTAGGGCCAGCCTGACAGTGGTTAAGTTCACACGTTCCACTTCCACGGCCTGGGGTTCGCTGGTTTGGATCCGGGGTGCAGACCTACTCACTGCTCATCAAGCCATGCTGAGGCGGTGCCCCGCATAGAAGAGCTAAAAGGACCTACAACTAGGGTATACAACTATGTGCTGGGGCTTTGGGGAGAAAAAAGAAAAAGAGGAAGATTGGCAACAGATGTTAGCTCAGGGCCAATCTTCCTCAAAAAAAAAAATAGAATAGTTTTCTGAGGAACTATATATAGATATTTACTGAAATAAAATTGGCCTCAGATTAAATGAGACCTTGGTCAGCTTACTGAGACTCTCTAAATCTTGTTTTCTTGTTTGTAAAATGAGTATAATAATAACCTAATAGAGTTGTTACAATAATGTAAAAAAGCCATTTGTAAAGCTCCTGGCGTATAGTAGAGGTGCTCAGTCAGTGATTATCTGTGCACTTTATATCTCTTGGCGTGGTGCTGGGCACGCACAATAGGCCTCACTCCACAATTAGCTCAATTGATAGTATTTAGAGATAGGTCAAGACTCATGTTAGCTATTATTCTTGCCTCTATTTCTGAATTTCTGTGGCCTACTATAGACCGTTTAATCTTCCTTCTGCGTCAATTTTGTGGAAATAAATGTTAGAAAACATGCAAGCATATTTTTTAACAAGTGTGCTTTTTTCTTTTCTCTTTAGAGAACTCTTTCTGAAGACCAATGCTCAGTTGACAATTCGTTGCAGGCAGTTACTATCTGAGCTTTCCTACATTTACCCTATTGATTTGGTAAGTTTCAAATTTTCTGAAAAAATGTTTTTTTTAAAAGATGATTTCTGTTTGACATTTCCTCTCAATGAAAAACTCATTGCTCTAGTCTTAATCATATGCTCTGTCATGATTCATTCAGAAGCTAGTATCTATTTAAAAAGTAGATTTAGACTTAGTTGGCATTAGGTTCAACTATTTAATTTTTTTATATCAATTTGGTGATGGGATGCACTCATCTTCATCTGAAAGAATGCCAGATTATTTTTGGTTTCTTTAGGATCTTTTCACTCAACCAAATTATCAACTGCCGCCTTTTCTGACACATACATGCATATTCATGTGGACTGCTTTTAAAATATAACTGCTAATTAATTTATATTTATTAGTATTACTTAAGATATTTCTGGGATAACTGTCAGGATGTTAAGTTTTTGAGTCCAGTTTCTTAGAGTAAATGCAAAAAGTAAAACTTCAATAAAACTAAGATTCTTTTTTAGAGAAGTAAATCTGCTAAATTTGATGGTTTTGTTTTCTTTTTAATGAAAAGAGATTTAAAAGACAATTTTCTGAGAGGAAAGCTAATAGCATTTTAGGTTACTCACAGAATCTTGTTAATTCCATTTAAAATTTTTCATTTATAGCTATGAATTGATCAAAGGGTATTTTTATAGTAAAAATTTTACATGGCTTTTTGCTTAGACATAATGTTTTAAATGTTTATATTAGAAAATTTCAAGTATATTTACAGAGATAGAAGTATAATGAATCGTCATGTACTCATCATCCAGCTTCAACAATGATGATAATATTTTGAGTCTAGAAGAGTATTGTCTTTGAGTTAACACTGACCTGCTGAATTCTTTGAGATTTGACTTAGAGTTTTTTTGCTTTATACAAAGAAAGAATTAATTTTATTCTTTGGTTATATTCACAGAATGAGCATAAGGATTACTTTGTATGTGGTGTCAAGTTGCCCAATTCTGAGGACTTCCAAGGTATTTTATTTCTTTTTACTTCTAAAGATTTGGTGTATATAATATATGGGCATGTTGCAGGGGAAAATAGTGATATCCTGAAATGTTGGTTGCCTAGCCTAGCACTAGAAAGGTTTTTGGACCTTCTGTTCCTTCGCAGTTGTAAAGAGAGTCAGCTTCCCTGGTGAGAGATTAAAGAGAATATTTGGTCTAATCATGGGGAAAAAATTATTGAACCTTATATTTGAAATTTAAAAGAAGATAGCTTTTAAATGGGCTTTAAGAAAATCAGATAGTAGGGTTCTTAAGAATACCGATACTATCCCTACACTTTTGGTTTGATTTTCATGAAAAATTTTTGTATGGTTGGGAGCAGAAGAATGACAAACATGAATCTATTCTGTTGTTATGTAGAAAATCATATTTCTGCTGACATAAAAAGTATTTGAAAATTTAATTTTGTGACAGTCCCACTACCACAGATTAAACTTGTCATACTGTCATTTCTGTCCTCTTTTAATTAAAAAAAAAAAATTATGTCAAAGGTATTATAGACTATGATTCATAGTAGTTGCTATTTTTTAAAATATTTTACTTTTCCTGATCTCTTCACCAGTATGACAAAGAAAAGAACTTATTTTATTTGGCATATTGGTGAAGAGATTTTTTTTTTTTTTTTATTGTTAGCAAAGTGGGTTCTTTTCCCTTAGCCTAAACAATGCTTTGAGGCCTGTTAAATAGCTTTATAGATTACTCCCAAAGCTAACATATTATCTGTTTGAGAAGAAGTTATTCAAGAAGAGAGCATTACTAGTTTTGATTGAGACTTTCTTCCATTTCCTTATAAAGAAAATGTTATTTGTGGTCCTTTAACATTTAAGACTATTTTAATTTATTACTTCCTCTGGCCTTTACAACAAGTAGCTGGGACATGATATAAGAAGAGTGATAAAACAGGAATAGGAAAACCTATATTCAACTCCTGGTTCCCCTTCTAGAAACCATGTAATTTGGAGCAAGCCATGTAAGCTTTGAGTTGATTTCCTAATCAACAGTCTGAACATAATAATTTATGTCCTACCTGTTTTACATGATTGTTGTGAAGGTTATACTGTAAAAGCATGACATTTTGCCTTATCTTTAATCCTCACAAAAACAAACAAAGGAAACCTGTAAGGAAAGTGGATAATCTCATTTTGCAATGTGTAAATGAGCTATTTAGTGACTTGCTTGAGACCACAAAGCTAGGAAATGATCTTGCTGGGATTTCTGGTTTCCATTGTAGAATGTTTCCTTCAATCTCTGTAAATCATACAGATGTGCTTTGGTGTTAATTTTAGGCAAAGTTATGGTGTTTTGAAGCCCGTGATACATCTTTTTCCTCATTTATTTATTCATTCATTTAACAAATGAATTAACTGTGAGTTGACCGATTGACTATGTTGAGCCCTGTGCCAGTTTCCAGGATACAGAATATTCATTCATTGAAAAAATATTAATTGAGCACCTGTATGCCTGGTACTGTGCTGAATTTTGAGGATATAATGATGGAAAAAGCAAATATGTTCTTTCCTTTCATTGAGCATACAGCCTATTGAGGGAGACAGCCAATAAACAAGAAAATAAGTTTTTAACAAGTATTTAATAAAAGAGTATGCTATTATAGAGAATAGGGAAACCTACTTTAGATAAAGCAGTCAGAGAAGACCTCTCTGAGGAGAAACATTTAACAGAAAATTTGAAGTCTGAAAGGAGCCAACTATGCTACAGCTCGAGAAGGAGCATTCCTACAAGAAGGGGTAGCAAGTACAAAGGTCATGGTGGAGGAAAGGGCTTGATATATCTGAAAAAACTCAGGGTGGGGAGTATGGAAGAAAAGACCTGTTATTTTGGGTAAATCATGTAATCTCTCAGAGCTTAATTTCTTCACCCGTAAAATAAGGTAATATCTACATCTCCAATTCATTGTGATGATTTAATGAGATGACATTTGAAAGAGCTTTTCACATAGTAGGCCCTCAGTAAATGTAATTGGACTTAGTTGCAAGAGAAAAGAAGGAAAGAAGAAGGGAAAGAAGGAAGGACAGAAAACACCAGACCAGATCTGTGTGGCTGGAGCCTAGTGAGAAGGGGAAGAGTTACCTCAGAGGAGGTAGGAGAGGTCAGCCAGGGCCTGGAGGGCACTGTAAGGAGTTTCTATTTTATTCTCAGTGGAGTGGGAAATCCCTGAAGGGCTTTTCAGAAGGGGGATGATAAGAGCTGACTGATATTTCTCACTCTGGCTGCTAAATACAGAATAATTTGAAGGGAGGCAATAAGGGAAGGCAGGGATATCAGTATTGGTGGACTGTTGGCTTAAACCACTCGGAGATGTTTCTTGATTCTATTTTTGTTTTCTTTGAAGTGCTTTGTTTCATAGTTTTTCATAACTTTTATTAGCTGTCTAGGCTTAGTATGCCCAAGAAGCTGAATACATTCTTCCTACCCTTTAAAAAATTAGTTTGGCTTTTTAGTACAGTTGCTAAAAAATGAAATGGGAGATAAAATGAAATAAATGTTTAATTTTAATCTGAGGCCCTATTCACTCCCCATGACTCCTATGAATCAGAAATTTTAAGGAGCACATATGCTAGTATTGGACTTTAAAATCTTACATTAGCATTCTGCAAGGCACTTCCATATACTGAATTTACTGAGTGCCCTGTGTGTATCATCTACTGTGCCAGGTGCTGACAGTATACAAAGACGATTAAAACATTGATCCTTCCTCAGTGAGATTTCAGTCCAGTTGAGGCCATCAAACTTATAATCAAGCCAATCAAGAAATATTTGTTGAATTCATAGTCTGTGTCAGGCACTTAGAAGTTTATACCAGGTATGTGGGGCTCAAAGAAGTGGGAATAATCAGTTCTCTTAGGAGGGAATCAGGAAAACCTTTACCGAAAAGGTGATGCCTGAGGTGTCTTAAAAGATAAAATATATTCCTATGTTGAAAGAAGGGTAGGGGGGACATGTTAGGTTGGGTGAATAGAAATATGGTAACATGAAACATCATACATGATGCTATCTTGTTTATTTAATTCTCACAGTTGTGAGAATTAATTCCTTCTGTGAGGGAAAGAATTACACTCAATTTTTTTTAAGACAAGAAAATTGAGGCTCAGAGAAATTAATTTTTCTAAAAACTATACTAGCCAGTGGCAGAGCTAAAGTCATCCCTGGTGGGCCTGATTTTAAGGTCCATATTATTCCTGTCATGATGCAGTTTTCTTCCTTGTTTTGAATAATAACCTCTTCCAAACTTCTGACAGCCTTTTAGTGTTGTGTAGCAACTGCATTCTCGTGAGACTCTAGTGAAGGAACTCCAAACTGGTTATTCTGTGATATTCATGAGACTCTGCTGGGATAGACTTTACATTGCATGGGTTGATACTGTTTGGGAAACTCCACCATAGTGGCCCAACATTTACCTTGCTTTTCTAAATGGGTAAGTTACTGTTAGAGTATGCCAAAGAGACCTGGACACGACAGGAGAAAGTTGTCTGGTGAAGGGTGTTCATTTGAGTTCCGTTGACCAAGACATTTTTCATTAAAAAAAAAAAAAAAATGTTTGTATGTGTTTTTAAGTAATCCATAACACTAGAGCCTTTTGTGGTAATGAGACCCAGATTTCCTTCTGTGTCTGTATCCCTTTATGCAGGCATGATTTCTTGGAAAGGAGAGTCCATATGTCAAACAGTGTCTCATTGAGAACATGGACTGATTCCATAGATGCTGTGGCAGTGATTAGAATCTTAAATATTTTGTCCTGTCTGGATCAGTGGGTGCTTGGTTCCTTAACAAATCAGCTGCCTCAGTGATTGGGAAGGCAGGATGGTAAGAGCTTTTAGATCACTTATTGTACTTGGATGCCTTTGAATATTAATAGTTTGTCCAACATTGAAGTCAGAGGGACATTTGAATTGATTTATATTGTTGTCATGGCCATTTTGTATTTGTGGAATTTATCATAAAAATTACACAAAAGCTGTAGTCTTGAATAACTGCCTACATTTAAAAAACAAATGAAAAATATTTATTAAGAGGAAACTGCAGATTTTTGTTTTAAGCCCCTTAAAACATTGTTTTAATCAGGATCTTTTTCACATACCTGAGTCTTACAATTTATTCCTGTTTCTCCCTGAACCCTTCCACTGCCCCTCCAACTTCTCACTAACCAAAACTATCCTCTGTGACCTTTCTAACCCCCAGAGCAGCGTAAGGAGCACAAACCTCTGCTCTGCATTAGGTGTTAGGGACGTCATTAATGCTTACTGGAAAAGTACGCCCCAGAGAGCCAGGTTTTGGCTTTGGCAGGTAAAAAGTCTTTTAGATCTTGGAATGCTGGAAACTTTAAACCCTTTGGTTTTTTAGCAACAGAATGTGACATTTGAGGTTTCTGGCCAGCAACAGCCATAATTAACCACACGAGCGCACATTTTCCCACTGGAGGGTCAGTGGTCTTGGGGTGATGAGAGTGGCTTCCCTACCAGGGGGTGGTTTTCCTTTTGAGGGTATCGGAATACCCTTGGGCCCTGTAATGCCTCACCCGCGATCCTTTTAAAATGCCTTCTAATATAAAGCTTCGGTATTGGAAATCCAACACCGTGGTGTTTCACAGTGCGGCTATGACTGAGGACTATGGCCTGGAATGGGAAACAACCTAGGGTTTTTAATAGGTGAAGCGGGGAGTCTTGTGCTGGAAACAATGGTGAGTGTGAATAACCAGAATCAAAGCTGATTTCCAGTGTTATCCAGGTTTCAGTTTTTGCTATTTCTTTTTGGTTTTTGATTTGCATGTGTAAGCTTTTCTTAGAGCTACCTTTTTATCTTTAAACTTAAGCAAAATTGTTTTGATCATTGAAGGGAGGTGATGTTAGAAGACCAGTTTTTGTTCTTTTAATGGATATATGGATGTAGTCTCAAAATAAGCAAGTATAGTTCTTTAGTGTTACCCCTTTAATAATGTGGAAAAAAATAAAGATTCTTAAGTGTTTAGCATTGGACACAATTTTTTAAACATTCATAGTTTGCATTTGACCTATTTGGAAGGCTGATTAAGAGGCCTTCTGTTGCTTTCTGGAAGTTTTCAAATCTTTTTCTGTCAGGTCATATAGGAAAGAAAAAGCTTAGTGTAAAGCACATACAGGCAAGTCTGAACTTAGTGTAGTGTTATCCTTCATTATTGTAAGTCGTCTTCTCTCCCTTCAAAAGAAGATTCTTAAAGACCAAGTCCTTTTACTGATAGGAATATTTTAAATTTGATAAGCCCTGTTCTTTACAGAAAGCAAATGGCGGGATTCGGTGACCTCTTATGGAACTCACTGTCTCAGCTGTGACTCCCAGGATAGATATTTTGGGGACTGGGGTGTAGGCACAATTTTCCCTCTTATTCCATCACTTGTGATTTTTACCTATATGGCTTTGACGAAGTCACATATACCAGCTGAATCTCTTTTTTTCTCATCACTAAATTGATAGCATCAGACTCAGTGATTTCTGAGGTTTCTCCCAGCTCTAATATTTATATGATTATTAAATTATAATATAATGAATTTATAGTGTAATGTAATTTTACTTTCTAAGGTAGTGTGATAGACAAATTTCAACAGACATAAAGTGTTGTGGTACTGAAGGTGCTTGGGTGGGACATGGTCTCTAAAAATAGTTAGAATTCTAGTCAGGGCATGACTCAGTAGTCAGTTGAAATGAATGCTGTGTGATTATTTTTATCAGTTTGATTTGAGTGAACATCAAACATTAGTTGAAAAGCCCATTCTCTGTCAAGCACTGTACCAGTCACCAAGGGCTCAAAGACTTTTTATGTATTCTTTGCCCTTACTATAAATGTATGAAGAAACTAAGATGGTACATGTGTGTCATGTGCTTGATATGTTCTAGGCTCCCAAGTTAAAAAATGTTTTGTATTCCACAGTCAAGTTCTGAGGTAGTATGGTAGAGTGCTTAAGGGCAGAGGCGTGGATGTCAGGCGTTCAACCTATGTACTAGCTGTATGATTTTGGACAGGTTCCTTAACTCTTTGAGCCTTAGTTTCTTCATCTGTAAGATGAATGAAATAGCGTATAAAAGGTGACCAGTTTAGTAACTGTTGATGAGTGAATGACTGTCATAAATAAAGTGCTATGGTCAATTCTTGGCGGAAGAATAGTGTATAATAAAAGTTACCTATTTTTATGGTATAATCAGAGAGAAACCAAGAGTCTGCTATGGTAGTCAGGGTGGAGAATTCACTGAGGCATAGATGGCTCTAGTGGCATTCTACAATAAGAAGGTACTGCTTAGATAACTATAAATATAAAAGAAGAATGTGAAAAATATTACTAATAATTGAAGTTAAAGCTACCCTTAAAAAGCAGGAAATACTCAAGCTAAGGTTATCTCGATCATTTCAGCCTTTCTCTAGCCAGAGGTATTCCAGATTATGTGTTAAATCTTTTAGTGTGTGTGAATTTTTTAAAGTATTTTGGGAATACCGTGTACCAAGCAGTTACTTTTTCCTTCCTCCTGGGGCAAGCTTAAAACTTTTTGTTGTATTACTCTCAGTTCCGAGTACCTGGGTGATTATTTATCACTTGGTAGTTAGTAGCAGACATCTGGATGGTGAATTAAAAATGTAATTATCTGTGACTTCTTAAAAGATAGATGCTTATGTTTGACTGTAGGATACATGCGTTTTTTCTAATAGTTGCTTCCACCTAAATTGCATCAAATGGGTTATATGTTAACAGTTTGGTTTTTGACCTTTTGCTTTTAACTGTTTGAAATGTTTTTCCACCTTATCCTATCTCAGACTTCACAGACTTATTTATGCAACACTGTCTTGATGACTATTGAGAACACACCCCATAAGGATGCATTTCACTTCACCTTAGAATTAATAATGTACAAAAGTACAACAGTACAACTATATTGCTTATAAGTTGTTAACGACTAATATATATCATGCTTATATAGTGCATTATGTTTAAACCTCAGAAACTAATTTTCACATCATATAATACACTCAAGTATTATTTCTGCCCTTAAAAATCCTGCAAAAGAAAGTAAGGGATATTTGAGGACACTAACAACTCTGTCTTAAAATATATATAAAATGTTAATCTCATCACATGAATTATTGGGAAGTAGTTTTAAATATCGTAGATGAAATTTCAAGTCTTGTTAATGTTTTTAGATTAGGATAAAATTTATATAATTTAGGTAATTGATTAATATTTACCAGTTATTTGTTAGAAGATCTCTTTTGAAATTGATTTATTGTGATCTTGTAGTTACATTTATAAGGTGAATAGTTGTTTTCTTTTCCTCTGCTTTTGAATTTACAGCAAAAGATGATGGAAGCATTGCTGTTGCCCTTGGTTACACTGCGCATTTGGTCTCCATGATTTCCTTTTTCCTTCAAGTGCCCCTCAGATATCCTATAATTCATAAGGGATCTAGATCAACAATCAAAGACAATATCAATGACAAGTTGACTGAAAAAGAGAGAGAGTAAGTATCATTTTTTAATATATTTTTAACATCAAGCCAGTGTAAAACATGGAATGTATTAAGAATCTAAAATGTGACCTAGATTGTGGCAGTTTTTGTATATCCGTTGTCAAGTGCTCCATTTCTTTTAAATAGAATGTAGACATTCATTTAGATTTTAATAGATCAACTCCTGTGCTTCTTAAAATTGCCAGTGATAGCAAAATTGACTCATTTAAGTTTAATTTGCTTTTATGAGGACAAGTATATACTCTGCAAATATTCATGTAGTACCTGTTACTTGCTAGTCAACAAGTGAAATGGTTAAAGATTTGTCAGAAAGCCAACCAGGAAGAGGATAAAAGACTTAACAGCAGATTGTACATATATGAAAAATTGGTTAATGAACTAGAAGATAGGTCAGTAGACATATTCTGACCAAAGCACAAAGAATAAAAGAGATGGGTTATATAGAAAAGTGCTAGACATATGTAGGACACAATCAAGAGGTCTAATATACATATAATTGGAGTCACAGAGAGGGAGAAGAGAGCACATAGGGCAAATGCAATATTTTAAGAGATGATGACAGAATTTTTCAAATTTGAAAATTTTGTGCCTTCTTGCATTTCCATGTTTCTGTGCGAGATTATTTTTCTTCTGCCTTTAGTATTTCCCTTAGTATCTACATCAAACTGAAATTTAAGGCAATTTAAATAAAGTGGGACATTTTATGATAATGCAGTCAATTCTAAATATATATGTACCTAAAAGTATAACTTCAAACATATAGACAAAAATTCACAGAACTACCAGGAAATCCACAATCATAGCAGAGGACTTTAAATTTCTTTTTGTTAACTGTTAGAACAAGCAGACAAAAAAAATCACTTAGAATCTAAAAGACCTGAACAGTACAATTAATAAACTAGACCTAAGTTATGGGTGAAGAATATTGCACCAATGGTTGCAGGATATATATTCTTTTTAGGTACATGTGGAACATTTGCCAAAATTGATTATGTTGGGCCTCAACAAATTTCAAAAGATTGAAATAATTCACAATATGTTTACTGACCACAGTAGAAGTTACTAGAAATCAGTAATAAAATCCCCAAATGTGTGGATATTAAACAGTATACTTCTGTATAATTTATAGGTCAAAGTAGAAACTATAAAAGAGGTTTGAAATTATTTTGAACTGAATGATAATAAGAATATAGCATATACGGGGCTGGCCTGGTGGCGTAGTAGTTAAGTTCGTGTGCTCCACTTTGGCGGGGCCTGGAGTTTGCAGGTTTGGAGCCTGGGTGCGGACCTACGCACCACTTAATCAAGCCATGCTGTGGTGGCGTCCCGCATACAAAGTAAAGGAAGATGGGCATGGCTATTAGCTCAGGGGCCAATCTTCCTCACCAAAAAAAAAAAAAAACAAAAAACAAACAGAATAGAGCATATGGAAGCTTATAAGATACAGCTAAATCTGTGCTCAAGAGGGAAATATTTATAGCTTCAAATGCATATATTAGAAAAAAAGATTTAAAAATCAATCATCTAAGTCTCTTGCTGAAACAGCTAGAGAAAAAAGAGTTATGTAAGGCCTAGGAAAGTAGAAGGAAGGAAATAATCAAGATAAGAAAAGAAATTTAAATGGACAACTGTACAGTAGAAAAAATAATACAGGCAGAGGTTCTGGGCTTTGAAACAGCTAGGAAATTGATAAGCCTCTACCAGGACTAATTTAGAAAGAGAAGAGACAGGAAAAATAACTAGTATAAGTAGAGAAAAAAAAAAGATATCACTACAGATATATAGACATTAAAAGATAAGATCTGTGAACAACTTTATGCTAGTAAATTTGAGATTCAAATGAAGTGGCTAAATTTCTAGAAAAACACAGCTTTCTAAAACAATACACGAATGATTGATTGGAGTTTAGAAAACACTACTCTTGGGTGAAGGGAAGTGGATATGGATTATTCTAGGTAAGTTATTCTCAATCCTGGCTGCACATTAGTGTCATCTGGGGAGCTTTTAAAAATGAGCTCCCGACCCCTAGATTCCTGGCCTTTCCTCCAGAAATTCTGATTCAGTTGATGGGACCCAGACATGAGGTATTTTTTAAAAGCTCCTGAAGTGATTCTAATGTGCAGTCAGAATTGAGAAAACCACTGTTCTGGATTGAGAGCGTATTGTGTTCATGGGCATGAAGAAATGAAATATCCTCTGTTATATTTAGGAAACTACAAGAGAAAAGGCAGGAATGATAGGCACCAGTGGAAGAATTTAGTACTATATTTGGTAGGACAATGACTCTCAACTTGTAAGTGCAGGGCAGGGAGCACATGTATAGTTTAAATCAGTGCCTTTTCAAAGGCATTGATTAGTTTATAGGCCAGGTATTCTTTTCCATTTCAAAAGCGTTTAAAGAGAGCCTGAAATACATAGTTTGACAAAAGGGGACATGGGTATGGTTTCTTTTCTCTTTTTAAAAAATTGAGGTGAAATTCACATAAGGTTAATGTTTTTAAAGAGTACAATTCAGTGGCATTTAGTATATTCACAGTGTTGTGCAACTATCACCTGTATCTAGTTCCAGAACACTGTCATCACCCCAAAAGAAAACCCTGTACCCATTAAGCAGTCGCTCCCTGTTCCCCCACCCAGCACCCCCTTCCCTCAGCCCCTGGCAACCACCCATTTACTTTCTGTGTCTATGGATTTACCTATTCTGGATATTTCATATAAATGGAATCATATAATATGTGATGAAGGTTTCTTTCACTTAGCCTGGCGTTTTCAAGGTGTATCTGCATTGTAGCATAATCAGTACTTCATTTCACTTTTATGACTGAATAATATTCCATTGAATGTATATTTTGTTTAACCATTCATCTGTTGATGGACATGGGGGTTATTTCCACTTTTTGGCTGTTCTGACTAGTGCTGCTATCGATATTCATGTACAAGTATTTGTTTGAGTATCCATTTTCAGTTCTTTTGCGTATATACCTAGGAGTGGAATTGCTGGATCATATGTTTAACTTTTCGAGAAACCACCAAGCTGTTTCCCACAGCAGCTACACCAGTTTACATTCCCTGGTTGAAGTGGTATATCATTGTGATTTTGATTTGTATTTCCTTAATGACTAATGATCTTGAGCATCTTCTCATGTGCTTGCTGGCCATTTGTGTATCTTCTTTGGAGAAATGTCTGTTCAAGTCCTTTGCCCATTTTTTAATTGGATTGTCTTTTTTGTTGTTGAGTTGTAAGACTTCTTTATGTATTCTGGATACTAGATCTTTATCAGATATATCATTTGCAAATATTTTCTCTCATTCTCTGGGTGGTTGTTACAGTTTAAGGCCTAAAATTAAGGTCAGTATTATATGCTGCCTTGATATCTGTTGATACCGGGAGGGCCTTGAAACGCCCCTGCCTACTCTGCTCCTGTGGATAAGGTCCCCTATCCTAACAACCCTCCTTATCCAGGGGCCTCAGTGTAGTTCCTGCTTATTTCTGAGTGGTGATTTCAGTTCCTTGCCAGCTGGGGAATTATGGAAACAAACCAATCACATCCGCCCACAGTAACCAGTTGTTGCTATATCCTCTTGATATTACAAAGCCTACCTTCCACAGCCCCTGGTTGTTCACTCTGTTCCCAAGTGTAACTCCCATATGACCCTGCGTGGCATGCTTTATCCTCCTCCCCGGGCTGTGAGTATATGTGACTAATAACCTGCTGTCAGTCTCATCTGTCCAGTGTCAGATGTTGAGTGTTCAACCACCCCTGTAACCTTAGGGCAGTAATCCCTCTCATATCGACGGAGTGAATAAGAAGCAATTAAAACAGTTACTTCACTTTCTTTATAGTGTCCTTTGATGCACAAAAGTTTGAAATGTTGATTAGGTCTAATTTGTTTGTCTTTTTTGTTTGTTTCTAGTGCTTTTGGTTTCATATCTAAAGTCCATTGCCAAATCCAAGGTCATGAAGATTTATCTCTTTGTTTTCTTATAATAGTTTTATCATTTTATCTCTTACATTTAGGTCTTTGACCCATTTTGAGTTAATTTTTATAATATGGTCTGCGGTAGGGGTCCAACTCCATACTTTTGCATGCAGATATACGGTTGTCTCTTCACCCTTTGTTTAAGAGACTGTTCTTTCCTCGTTGAATAGCTTTAACACACTTGTTGAAAATCACTTTGCCATAGATGATTTCTAGACTCTCAATTCTAGTCCATTGGTCTATATATCTATCCTTATGTCAATACCACAATAAGCTTTGAAATTGGGAAGTACAAATCCTCCAACTTTGTTCTTTTTTAATATTGTTCTGGCTATTCAGGGCCCCTTACAATTCCATATGAATTTGAGGATCATCTTTTCTATTTCTGCAAAAAAGCCCTTTTAATAAGTTGTTGGATTCAGTTTGCTATTATTTCCTTGAGGATTTTTGCATCTATATTCATAAGGGATATTGTCTATAGTTTTCTTATGTTGTTTTTGTCTGGCTTTTGTATCAGGGCGATAGTGGTCTCATGGAGTGAGTTAGGAAGTATTCCCTCCTCTTCTATTTTTTGAAAGAGTTTGAGGATTGCTGTTAATTCTTCTTTTAAATGTTTGTTAAAATTTACCAGTGAAGCACTGTGGTCCTGGACTTTTCTTTGTTGGGAGGTTTTGGATTACTGATTCAACTTCTTTACTTGTTATAGGTTTGTTCATATTTTTATATATTCTTGAGTCAGTTTAGATCATTTGTGTGTTTCTAGGAATACGTCCATTTCATCTAGGTTATCTTATTTAGTGGTGCACAATTGTTCATAGTATTTTCTTACAATCCTTTTCATTTCTATAAGGTCTTCAATCCTGTCTCCATTTTCCTTTCTGATTTTAGTTATTTGTGTCTTTTTTTTTCTTAGTCTAGCTCAAAGTTTTTTGGTTGATCTTTTCAAAAAACTAACTTTCAAAGTCAGTTTGGTTAATCTTTTCAAAAAGCTTTTGGTTTCGTCGATTCTC